CTCTGAAACAAAGCAGTATGTTTAGTTAAGTTCAGTATACGATATGGTTTGAAAGAAAAGCAGCGAATTCCTTTACTTGCCACTGGCAAAACTGGCACTCTGGCAAAACTGGCGCTCTGGCAAAACTGGCAAACTGGCGCTCTGGCAAAACTGACTAGCACTTTAGTAAACTGGCGCTCTGGCGAAACTGGCGCTCTGGCAAAACTGGCGCTCTGGCAAAACTGGCAAAACTGGCGTTCTGGCAAAACTGGCAAACTGGCGCTCTGGCGAAACTGGCACTCTGGCGAAACTGGCACTCTGGCAAAACTGGCGCTCTGGCAAAACTGGCGCTCTGGCAAAACTGGCGCTCTGGCAAAAATGGCAAACTGGCGCTCTGGCGAAACTGGCACTCTGGCGAAACTGGCACTCTGGCAAAACTGGCGCTCTGGCAAAACTGGCGCTCTGGCAAAACTGGCGCTCTGGCAAAACTGGCAAACTGGCGCTCTTGCAAAACTGGCGCTCTGGCAAAACTGGCGCTCTGGCAAAACTGGCGCTCTGGCAAAACTGGCAAACTGGCGCTCTGGCGAAACTGGCACTCTGGCGAAACTGGCACTCTGGCGAAACTGGCACTCTGGCAAAACTGGCGCCCTGGCAAAACTGGCGCTCTGGCAAAACTGGCGCTCTGGCAAAACTGGCAAACTGGCGCTCTGGCAAAACTGGCGCTCTGGCAAAACTGGCAAACTGGCGCTCTGGCGAAACTAGCACTCTGGCGAAACTGGCACTCTGGCGAAACTGGCACTCTGGCAAAACTGGCGCTCTGGCAAAACTGGCGCTCTGGCAAAACTGGCACTCTGGCAAAACTGGCGCTCTGGCAAAACTGCCGGCGCTCTGGCAAAACTGCCGGCGCTCTGGCAAACTGGCGCTCTGGCAGATGGATAAAAAGCCAAAAACGTACATCATTTTGGCGTATGGCATTCAGAGTCGTTATAGATGACGTAAGACATAGTTTGTATAATTACCATATATTATTTATAACCGGAATAATTTTGTATATTACTTGTGACGTGTTCTGTGCTCTGCTACACGGCTTAATAACCAAACTTTAAATTTTCGAGTAATTTTATTCAAAATTCTGAGTCATTATAGGTGCATTATTTTACGAAGTTTTGAGATGCGACACTAGTCATGAATTAAGAGAAAATTTTTGGACGTGGATACTGAACAACTGGACTTCTGTGGATATATTAGCCAACTTGATGATGAAGAGTTTCTTGATGTTGTTTTTGGTCAGCATACCGCACAGGAACTTTTAGACAATTTTAGAGTACATTCTGCTAGTATTTTTTGCATCGAACTATTGAATTGTCAAACTGATTGCGTTCTGAGGAACTTATTCCCATCTTGTGTAAATATTACTTTGTTTATATTTTGTTTTCTACATTTGTAGAATCTCTTCCATGAGGGAGGCAAATGAAGAATTTCACTCACCCACTGAGAACCCCAAGAATTAGATTCAACATGAAGAACGATCCAATAATCAGCAATGAAATGTACAACATTGATGTCACGACGCCATATTCGTATTCACGAGCGTCAAAACTCTACAACAACACAAACGACAGGAAACATCATTTGTGTGTTTCTGGTTTGATATGCACTCAGGAGAAGATACATGTAACATGTTCGTGATGTTGTCTCTGAGTGTGTCCGCACCGGGCAAGTTGAAAAGTTTCCTGGAATTATTTTTTTCCAATTCAAGGACTTTCCAGGATTTTCAAGGCCCTTGGACACCCTGCGCACATAAACCGTGGTGAAAGTCAAATCACAAGTCCTTTCGTTTAAAATTTTTAAAGAGTTGGATTTGAAAAGTTTTAAAAAGCAATTCAAAAATCAGTTAATAGTTCAGTACGAATAGTTTTGATCAAGTAGCTGTCTCCAAGATCTCATTAATCTATACTATTATTTTCGGTTTTCTTTGTGCGTTTTTTTACTCTGTGTGTCGTATCTTTGTTTTTCATTTTGTGCTCGATATTATAATTTCTGTCTGCTGAAACATGATTTCTTTCAAAATCATTGTTATAAGTCATCTGACTAGAATAGCCCCATATGATCATTTGTAATTGTAATTTTAGATATTATTGAGTATGTATTTTTTTGAGTGTAATAAATATTGTATTGTATTGTATTGTTTACTTACAATGTACATAATGTCCGTCCAACCCTCCATAGTGACACATTGAAACACGGTCAACATGGCCAGGAAGATATGATCATACGATGTAATCCCATAGTGGGGTCCAGGCCACTCGGCCCTAGAGTTGATGTATTCACATCTCTCCCCAGGCCCACACGTTCGACCTCCCTCGTCGCCACACGGACGATTTAACAGCAGAGTATCATTGATCTTACCTGGAAAATATTACATTGGCTGATTTCCACGAAATATTGAAATTCCACGAGTTCTAGGATGTTTCAATAATCTTACCCGTTTCACTATTTTGGCAGGTCCAGTGAAAACGACCAACAAGCAGTTCGAGACCAATTATTGCGTATATTACAATTATAAATGTTATCAAAAATAAAATCTGCATTAAAGGTTTCATAGCGCGAACTATTGATTTCATCACTACTTGTAAACCTGCAAAAAATAAGAATATGGATCAGCAGCCTGGATTTTGGTATATATACGAGTATGCTCATGAGCATACAAGATTTGTATATATATATATATATATATATATATATATATATATATATATATATATATATATATATATATATATATATATATATATATATATATATATATATATATATATATATATATATATATATATATATATATATATATATACGTCATTCTGACTAAATACGACACATACATGTAATATAGTATAAACTATAAGATTTTGATCCTTGTAAGAGCATCGAGATTCTGTAGGATGCTCCTAAATTTATTATTATTATTATTATTATTATTATGAGCATATATACCCAAATCCAGTATGCTCATGAGCATGCTCATGAGCATGCTAGACAAACTGCCGCTAGACCAACTTACTGGGAATGCCAGACACCAGTTTTAATGGTCTTAGAACTCTAATGGCTCTCAAGGCTTTAATTCCTTCTGAATTATCTTTCGTTTCTTGACTCATTTCAGGAACTGCACCAATAATTCTGAAAAATTGAGGAAACCAATTAAGATGTGTAAACTGTTACTACAGAAGGAAGCCTAGACTAAACTAGTGTCAATAGATCTAAATATACATACCCAACAATGAGAACAATAAAATCTAAAATGTTCCAGCCATTTCGTAAGTAAGCTCCAGGGTGAAGAATAAAGCCCATCGCTAAGATTTTGACGAGAGCTTCAAAACTGTATATGGCCACGAAATATATCTCACTGGCTTCCTGGGAATGTAGAGCTTTTGGTGAAATTGCAAACTGTGAAATAACAATGGTGATGATGGTGATAACGGTGGTGGTGATGATAATGGTGATGATGATGATGGTGATGATGGTGATGATGGTGATGGTGATGATGGTGATGATGGTGATGATGATGGTGGTGGATGATGATGATGGTGATGATGGTGGTGGTGATGATGATGATGGTCATGATGATGGTGGTGGTGATGATCATGATGATGATGGTGATGATGATGATGATGGTGATGGTGATGATGATGATGGTGGTGGTGATGATCATGATGATGGTGGTGATGATCATGATGATGGTGGTGGATGATGATGATGGTGATAATGGTGGTGGTGATGATGATGATGGTCATGATGATGGTGGTGGTGATGATCATGATGATGATGGTGATGATGATGGTGATGGTGATGATGATGGTGGTGGTGATGATCATGATGATGATGGTGATGATCATGATGATGGTGATGATGATGATGATGGTGGTGATGATGATGATGGTGGTGGTGATGATGATGATGGTGGTGATGATCATGATGATGGTGATGATGAGGATGATGATGGTGATGATGGTGATGATGGTGGTGGTGATGATCATGATGATGGTGATGATGATTGTGATGATGATGATGATGAGGATGATGATGGTGATGATGGTGATGATGATGATGGTGATGATGGTGATGATGATGGTGATGATGATGGTGATGATGAGGATGATGATGGTGGTGATGATGAGGATGATGATGATGGTGATGATGAGGATGATGATGGTGGTGATGATGAGGATGATGATGATGGTGATGATGAGGATGATGATGGTGGTGATGATCATGATGGTGGTGATGATCATGATAATGGTGATGATGATCATGATGATGGTGATGATGAGGATGATGATGGTGGTGGTGATGATGATGGTGGTGGTGATGATCATGATGATGGTGATGATGATGATGATGGTGATGATGATGATGATGATGATGATGAGGATGATGATGGTGATGATGGTGATGATGATGATGGTGATGATGGTGATGATGGTGATGATGATGGTGATGATGATGATGATGATGGTGGTGATGATCATGATGATGGTGGTGGTGATGTTAATAAAATGGGTGATGTGGTGGTTATGATGGTGGTGGCCACGATGATAATGGTGATGGTGGTGTTGTGTTGACGATACTGATGATGGTGGTGTGATGATGGTGGTGTGATGATGGTGGTGATGATCATGATGGTGGTGGTGGTGATGTTAATAAAATGGGTGGTGTGGTGATGGTGGTTGATGGTGGTGGCCATGATGATAATGGTGGTGTTGGTGTTGTGTTGACGATACTGATGATGGTGGTGTGATGATGATGGTGTGATAAAGGTGATGATAATGATGTTGATGGTAACAATGATGATGGTGGTGATGACAATTCTAGTGGTGTTGGATGGTGGTGGAATTGATGGTGGTGTGATGATGATGGTGTGATAAAGGTGGTGATAATGATGTTGATGGTAACAATGATGGTAGTGGTGATGACAATTCTAGTGGTGTTGGATGGTGGTGGAATTGATGGTGGTGGATATCTGTAATAATGGTAAAGATACGATGATCACAGTAGCTTGGCTACAAAACGCACGTACCAATTGTCTATTCAAATCAGTCGAGTCCCCAGCAGGATTGGGAGCATCCAGTGATAAAACAACACAATTTGCTGCTATGGTCAATAAGATGAAATAATCAAACGGTCTGGAAATATAGGTTAAGGAAAACACAAGCGACACAAAACAACAATATCTTAAAATGCTTAAAACTATATAAAACAAATGGGATTTTAGTAGAACAATAGATAGAGCAGGTGTCCTTTTTCCCCTTTCAGGCTTGAACAAAGTTAAGCCTGCTGTTTTCGACTTGCTCACAGTCATATATATATATATATATATATATATATATATATATATATATATATATATATATATATATATATATATATATATATATATATATATATATATATATATATATATATATATATATATATATATATACTGCAATATCTATGAATTTTTCTCGTAAAAAGTTAATTCTCACTAGATATCTATGTTTGACTTGCAT